TTAAAATTAAGATATCTCTATTAAAAACTATGATATCTCTATTAACAATGAAAATAGAGATATCTTAGTTTTCAATAGAGATATCTTAGTTATAAATAGAGATATCTCAATTTTAAATTGATATCTAATAAATGCAAACCTCGACCTATGATTCTTGTCCCTGGTATACCCCAGAGTGATGTGAAGGCAATTGCAGAAGCAATTAACCAGACCTTTGCTTCAGTCTCTCAGAGTAGGCCCCCAATAAATCTGAAACAATTGCCTGCGTACTTGCCTGCTACAACCCCCACCTCAAATCCATGTCTGGGATATGTACAAAGAATTGAGTAAATTGAACGCAAAGGAAAGCAACAGGTCCTGATGGACTACCAGGGAAATACTTAAAGAGTTTGCGTGCGAATTTAGCATCCCTGTAACTAGTATTTTTGATTTATCATTAGTTGAGGGATCAGTACCTCAAGTGTGGAAGGATGCAATTATTGCCCCAGTAGTGCCAAAGGAATTACCGGTTAAAATAAGCAAACTCAGACCAATCTCTTTAACAGCCATTCTTGCTAAGGTTTGTGAGGGCTTCGTTTCTAAGTGGGTCTGGAACGATATTGCTAAATCTATCGATCGCAATCAGTACGGTTGTATTAAGGGCTCATCAACCACCCACTGTTTAATTAAACCACTTGATACCATTTATAAAGGCACTGATAAACCTGATAGAGTTGGCACGTTGGTAGCGACGGACTTCTCCAAAGCTTTTGATTGCGTAGATCACACGATCGCAGTCCAGAAACTTTATCATCTTGGTGCCCGAAGCGAAATCCTACCGTGGATTGTGGACTTTCTCACTGCGCGACGTCAGAGGGTGCGATACCATTCAACACTTTCGGACTGGGTAACACTTTCATGCGGGGTCCCACAAGGCACGAAGTTTGGGCCTATCATATTTAACGCCATGATCAATGATGCATCCGAGAATGCGCATTCGTCTTCTTTTAAGTATGTTGATGATCTAAGCCTGGTTGAGGTCCGTCCTACCAGGGTGCCAACCTGTATAGAGTCGCATGTCCACGATTTGGACCTCTGGGCCAATTCTAACCACTAAAGCTCAATCCATCCAAATGTAAGGTTTTACAAATTTGCTTTAAAAACCAACCCCCAAATCCTCCTAATCTTATGATAAATGATCAAATGCTTGAGAAGGTATCAGAGGCCACAATATTGGGTCTTACAGTACAGGCCAACTTGGGTTGGGATACGCATGTTAACACAATGGTATCTAAGAGCAGTCGAAGATGCTGAGTCGGCTCAAGCGATTTGGAGTCCCAGTCCAAGATTTGGTGTCAGTGTATACTGGATATGTGCGCCCTACTATTGAATATGCCTTACCTGTCTGGCATGGAAACATTACAAGACAGCAATCCAAACAGATTGAAAGAATCCAAAAAAGAGCCAGCCGTATCATTCTTGGCACAAATTATGTGTCGTATAACGACGCACTAAATATTACTGGTCTCCAAACGCTTGAAGAAAGAAGAATCCATTTGTGCAGTGAGTTTGCTAATAAATGTTGTAATTCAGATAGATATAAGGATTGGTTCCCTCAGAATAGCCGGTCTCACTCTATGAATCTCAGACACACAAATACATATCGAGTTCCCAAGCACCGGACTAATAGATATGGCAATAGCCAGATTCCATTCCTCACTAGACTTTTAAAATAAATAATGACAATTAGTATTCGATAAATGACAATTCCGTTATTGCGGTTTCCAAATTTTGCCTATAGTAGAATTTAGGCGGGGCTCTTGTTGCAATATGATTCAACACATCTATTTCCCTTGTTCAATATGAAATCTAACAGTTATTTTTCTAGTCAATTTTATGTAAATTGTTTATATTTTTATATCTACCAATGTGTAATTTTGTATAAATCATAAACCAATTGTTATTCCTTGTGTTTTTTGATATTTTTTTATTATACAAATAGAATTTAATGTTTGATCTAATGAAGTTTATCTGATTTCTACTTTTATAGGTCTCAACTTAATTTTAATGTTCTAAATTATGTAATCTTTTTGTGCTTTTTTGTGTTTTTCGGTTTAGTATTTCCGAGTTTTAATGCATTCTCATGTAATTCAGCGTCAATGCTGCCATTTGAGATTGAATAAAAATATTGGAATTGAATATTGAATCATTTCGGTCATTCGGTACATAAAACAATCATATCTACTCCTTAGGCATGCATGAAAAGAAAAAAATAAAATTAAATGCATCACAACCCGCCTAGTACACCTTTTGGGTCCGTGCAAGGCGCTGACATAAGAGCCTCACTGCTGTTCTTGTTCTTGTTCTTGTTCCTCAGTATCAGTAGTAAAAATATTAGAACTCACGTTCAGAACAGTAGCACACACCTGTACAGTGGTGCGGCCATAATACAATAACAGGGTCTACAATCAAGTAACAATTATACAAAGAACAAGAATTAAAATAGGGGGGAAAACAAAGATTAATAAAAGGCATACAGTAGGCCTACTTACTTTTGATTATTAAAAGACCTGAAAAAATCAGGTAAATTATGAACTTTAGATTGGACTATTTTTTAAAAATATATAGTGAAATCATTTTAAAAATGTATAATATAGATTATATTAAAAATTATATATACACATAATGACACTTATACTAATACCCCTTATACTAGACTATAACCCCCGTATTTATAAGCTGTCAGAATCCATTAAAGCGGATTTCCAGGTTCTAAGAACCCACTTACCTGACCACAAACCTTTCGAAAATCCCCCCATCTTAGCTAAACGACAGCCCCCCAACATTAAAAATATCCTGACTTCCTCCCATCTCCCTAGAATTCCCCCCTTAACTGGTAACCGTCCCTGCAACAACTCACGCTGCAAAGTCTGTGATATTCTCATCACTAGCAAATCTATCAAGCTCCCCCACACTAACTTAACCATCAACCCACCCCCTCTCACATGCAACTCTACCAATGTTATATATATGATCATATGTTCTAAGTGTGATCGAGGTTGTTATGTCGGGGAGACAGGGAGCAAATTTAGACTTAGGTGTAACAATCACAAGAAATCGATTCGGGACAAAGCTCTGGGATTCCCTGTAGCACAACATTTTAATCTGCCTAACCACTCTGTTAATGATATGAAATTTGTATTAATTGCTTCAGGTTTTAAGTCTCTTACTGAGCGTTAATGCTGCCATTTGAGATTGAATAAAAATACTGAATTGAATATTGAATCATTTCGGTCATTCGATACATAAAACAATCATATCTACTCCTTAGGCATGCATGAAAAGAAAAAATTAAAATTAAATACATCACAACCCGCCTAGTACACCTTTTGGGTCCGTGCAAGGCGCTGATATAAGAGCCTCACTGCTGTTCTTGTTCTTGTTCTTGTTCCTCAGTATCAGTAGTAAAAATATTAGAACTCACGTTCAGAACAGTAGCACACACCTGTACAGTAGTGCGGCCATAATACAATAATAGGGTCTACAATCAAGTAACAATTATAAAAAGAACAAGAATTAAAATGGGGGAAAAAACAAAGATTATTAAAAGGCATACAGTACTTATTTTTGATTATTAAAAGACCTGAAAAAATCAGGTAAATTATGAACTTTAGATTGGACTATATTTTAAAATATATACGGTATTGAAATCATTTTAAAAATTTAAAATATAGATTATATTAAAAATTATATATGCACATAATGACATATATATACACATATATCATATATATATATATATATATAATTATATACACACATACATACATATACATTGTACACGTATATGTATACATACATATACATTACGTATACATGTGTATGCAAATAGGCCACATAAATACACACAAATATATATACAGGCAATTCAATGAAAAGACGAGATGGAACGACTTGGCACACCCAATGTACAAAACCAATTCCGAGTATGAACACTTTGCCTGTGGACGGGTCGATATACTCCGAACAAAACTCCTTTCACCACTACCACCTCCCACCCGCCGAGCTACATATCTAGGGAACACACGTGGATTATTTACATTAAACATGTATGAATCGATGCATTTATACATATATATGTATATATATAATTTGTGCATACATAACATGAAGACATTATAAAAAAAAAAAATAACAAAACATCATAAATCCGTCTAGAAAACGAGATTTATATTTCAGAGCTTAAATTTCAAAATCTCAACACTGTAGGTGGAAAAGACATTGTATCCCCTACGGTAGAATTTGTTTTTTCATGTTTCAATGTTAACAAGAAAGAAAAACAAAAAAAATAAGGCGAATAAAACATGCAGTAATTATGTCAGTTCATCTTATTCATAAAATTCTGTAAATACACTTTTTAAATCAATAATTATACGTTTTATTAAAATTTACAATATTTTAGGGAGTAGCGTGGACATTTGCTTGTAAAACTTTATTCTTGTTACCAAAACTTCAAAAACGTCCAGCGTCGCCAGTTTTGAACGGACTTGCAGGAAACTTTGTATACATAAACATGAGGTGATTTCCAAACGTTCATCGCCCTTTTTTAAGTTTTAAGGACAAAACAGGGGTTACAGCAAAGATGTACATTACTGCCATTACAAATAGGGCACGTCGCATGGATGGCGTGGTCGATTAAGGATGTGTTCTAAAGAACTTAAGGTTGTCAGTTCGAATCGCGTCTTGGTCTTCAATATTTTTTTTTTTCCAATTTTAAGAAATTTTATGTTTTTTTGCTGAATGGCTGTGTTTTTCCAGTGATTCAATTGGTTGTGTTTTGGCCTGAGTTCAAATTGCGTCTTGCTACTTTATTTTTGGGTTTTCTATTTAAAAAAAGTAGTACACATGATGCCACTGGGTCAAACTTACATAGTGTCTGGTTCACTGTGGGCTAGTACTGTAGTATTTTTAAATAACGACCGTTTTCAAGTTGTTTTTTTTTTTAATTTCTAATCCTTCAGACAACCAGAAACGACGTGAATTTCAAAATGGATTTACGACAGACTCCGCTTCAAACACCAACTCGTGAGTTTTCAATCATTTCTAGCAAACCAAATAATTGCATTAACATTTTTTTTATCAATAGTAGATTACATTTCTAAATTCTGCTATTTGTATGATTTTATACACTGGCATAATAATAGGCCCTACAACTGTGTATTATCTACTTTATAGGCCTATTATTATTATTATTATTCGTTATTGAAGTTATCAATGTTGTTGTTGGCCTATTATTATTATTATTATCATTATTATTATTATTATCATCATCAATCATATTCATTATGCATATCACTTCGTAGTTTTGTTAAAAATGTAAAACGTTTAACATTATTTTTATGAACACAAATTATAAGTACTTATAAAAATGACATGATGACAATGATAATGACAATAAAAATGGCAGTGGCACTGCCATTTTTATTTATTAATGTCATATTGCTGAATCTGTATCCGTTACATGTCCATTAAGAATCACAAATCTGTTCGATATTTTTTATTTTTGCTTATTAATTTTGTATTTTAAATTACTGTGCATGCAATATGCACCGACACTGCCTAATGTTTTGTTGGTTTTTTTCCATTCGAAAATCAGCAAGAGTGTGTCTATCTCTTCATCGAGCAAATTAAACGCCTTCAAAAAGTTTAACGACCTTTGCAAAACAAACGACCAACCTTCTAACAATGCTTTGCAGAAGTCAATGGAAGTTGTGAAATCAGTCGATACAAAGAAATCGACGAATTCAATCAAAATATCTAGCACTGTAAAGCAGAAGGACGCACAAAATACCACCAAATTGCAGACAAATACCTTTAAACTCGAACTTAAGAAGGAACAAACAAGTGCTAAGCTTAAAACAGATGATCATGTTGACTCGTCGGCGACGAAAGCTGCTGTGAAGGTGGAAACAACCACACCTAAGCGAACTTCGATACCTGTAATGCCTAAGATCCAGCAACCGCCAAACTTCACCTCTCGTCCAAAGTCACAAACGATTAAAAAATCAAAATCAGCCAGGTTCACATGTCTTGTTGCTGGCGACCCGTTTCCTGAGATCAACTGGTTTAAGGATGGAACACCATTACCATCTGACCTCAGATACAAGATACTGGAAACAGAAGGAGAACATATTTTACAGATAGATGATGCTATGCAGTGTGATGCTGGTCGATATTCGTGTGTTCTGATAAACTCGGCTGGCAAGGCCACTGCAAGCTGTCAGCTAACGGTACAAGGTATGTGGTAGAGCAGTAAAATAATATCATACATGTCTTATGTTTTAATTTTATTAGAATTATATATTTCAATGAAACTGGCAGATTTTAAAATACCCCGTTACCTGTCAACGAATTTGTAGGACTAGACGTTTGCCCTACATGGCCTGTGACAGTACTGAATGTTTGTGGAAAAAAAATCTCGCAAGTGATTCGGATGGTAATCGAACCCACGACCTCCAGATATCTCCTGGTGTCTTAACCCCTGTGCTTTGTGGCTAGTGATAAATCCGATCCGATCAGAAGTAGCAGCGGTTACTGCAATGCTATTCCCATGACGTTTTGCGTCAGGAAAAATAATACGAATCGATGTTTGCCCGACCTGACGTGTCAAAGTACTGAATGCTCACTATGTTCCCAATACTTCGAGTGGTAATCGAATCCACGACCTCCGGGTAACTAGTCTGGTGTCTTAACCACTCGACCAGCAAGCTTCCGCGCACGGTGACTAGTGATGAATCCGATCTCAAAGTAGCAGCATTGCTATTCCGATAGCGTTTTGTGTCAGGAGAAAATTATACGAATCGATGTTTGCAAAACGCGATCGGAAAAGAATTTGTGTTTTATGTAACGCTGGCCAGGGAACAGTGAAACTGCACCTGCATCATTTAAGATGAGTTCAACTATTTTATAGTTTGTTCACTTTATGATTCATTACTCTCGAATTATTTAGTAAGAATAATAACATAGATCCATTATTTTCCAACTTATCAGAAAACAGAAACTTATACATTTATTTAGTAACGGTGACCCTTGTTTCTAAATTTACATACAGAGAAAAAAAGTAGCTGATTACAGCCAGCAACATTATGGAATTCTCCCAACGGACCTGAGTATGTGTTGCATATGTGCTTTATCCAAAGACCGGGGGTAATAATGCTAAGCGCATTAAGGTCTCTACAGTAATGCTCTTACATAAGTCTACAATTATTATTATTATTATTATTATTATTATTATTATTATTATTATTCATTATTATTATTATTTATTATTGTTATTATTATTATTATTCATTATTATTATTTATTATTGTTATTATTATTATTATTATTATTATTATTATTATTATTATTATTATTATTATTATATAGAGACGTTGAAACTCTATTTCCAAATTTTAACCGATTTTGTACCGGCGCATCTTTTAACATTCATGTCTGTGTGTCCTTATACATGTACATCCTATTCCGTGCTCTACTTAATGTACTACGTAGTTTAAGATACACACCTGCAAGCAATGAAATACACGCCATTGTGTCAGATTCAATATTTCGACATTTGTTATGTCATCATCAGGAATGAAAATTATGTCCAAAGAGCGAGCTTTTATAGAACCAAATCAAAAGTGTCAATCAATAAAAATTAGCGTACAATGATGAAAAGTAATATAATTTTATATAAAAATGAAAAGGGGAGAAAAAAATAATTAAGGTATGTACTGGTCAAATAAAATATATGTTAATAATGGTTACAATTGGTTAATGCCTAAACTTTAAAATCATGTTAATATCATAGAATTATGCTTAAATTTATTTTTTAAATTTTTATTTAACATTCATTGATCGACTTAATTTGCATATTTTATTGTTTATATAAGAATCAAGACATCACTATTTAGTTTCTTATTATCAAAATCTAGAAAGTTACAGGCCATTGCTCTAACTGAGTTTTTAATTTTCTCACGTTTAAGAAATGATTGAGGGAGAGCATCAGCATTTTGAAGTTGTTCCTATATTGATTCAGCATATACAAACATATCTGAGTCTTGGGGCCTAGTTGCTAATCCGTTACATATGCCAAAAATTAATACGGATTCTTCTTTAGTTAGGGTTTCCTTAGTTAAGTTAGTAATAATATGATTAGGGTTCTTAGCTGTTCCATTAATGATTGCATGCTCATGTAGAAGGTTCTTAAACTTACCTCTATGCCTAGCAGAAACTTTTAACATTTCCTTGTCAACAATAGAGTTAACATGATGCTTAATGACTAGTTTAAGTACCTCATAAGCCAGTAATTACTAGCCTTTATAGACATTATAAACAAACATACTACTATAATGAAATGTGTTTCATTTAAAAAAAAAATATCAATGTAGATGATCCACCGGTGTCACCAAAAGTAGAAGCACAATTCCCACCAAAGTTTCTACGACAATTATCCGATTTAAAATGTAAGGATGCTGAATCGGTGAGGTTTGAGTGCCGTGTGTCGGGGACGCCAAAGCCAAATGTCAGTTGGTTTTTTGAAGAAAAACCCATTACCGAAGATGATGTCTACGAACTATCTTTCAATGGAATAGTTGCCAAGTTAACCATCTTTGAAGTATTCCCAGAGGATACTGGCAAATATACATGCACGCTGACTAACTCAGTCGGAACTGTTTCCTCTTCTGCCAAATTAGAAGTTGAAGGTATTTTTACTCTTCAGTTTTTCCAAGTTTAAAGGTATTTTAAAGACATTAAAAGTCAGATTTTTAGTTGAAAGATATTAACCTTTTTAAATAATATACGAATATATAGTAATCACGACCTTCGCAGAAGTCTGGTTTTAAGTTTATCTATTCTAACTAAGGTGGCAGTATTTAATGTAGACACAATTTTCAGAATTATAGTGCTACTTAGCCACACGGTACACTCAAGTTATCCAATGCACACATCCTTCGTATTCTATCTACATTACCATAAAAACTACACTAGTACACCTATTAAACAGATTAAGAGTAAATATAAAAGGAATAAAAGACCACCAATGGAGAGGCCATTATAAGTCATAAAATTTAATTATATTTCTACTTGGCTTGTGCAGAAGGAATTGAGATTAATGGGGGAGCATCAAATGGTTCAAGATCGAATAGTGTAAACTTAACGACTATTCCAGAAAAGATATCATCCTCACAAGTCAAAATATCCCCTAGACCTACAAAATTATCGGCACCGACAGCCACGACATCTGCGCCAGAATTCATAAAGGAACTTAGAGATGTCACCGTTGATGATGGAAGTCCGTTGACACTGACAGTTGACGTGAAAGGTGAGTTTTTATTTTTTGAAAATGCATTTATTTTGTGTATAAATATAAATAAATTCCTGGTTGTAATTTGATTTTTATCATTTGTTCGTTACATTATGTGCATTATAATTACAATTAGCTTATTTATTATTGAAACATAATGTTTAATTAAAAAAATAAATTAGGGTAAATTAGTGTAAACATTTGTCAGTAAAATGAAAATAGGTTCATCGATGGTGATGATGTTGCTACTTATAATAATTATATTGATGATAATGATGATATTGATGGTGGTGATAATAATGATGATAATAAATAATGATGAGGAGGAGGAGGAGGAGGAAATAGTGATAATATTAATGATACTGATAATGATATTCATTTAAGATTATGACTACGATTTCTATGTGGGTAATGACCATGGTTATGACGATGATATTTATGATGATATTGATGAGAACGATATTGATGACGATAAGGATGGTGATGACCATGCCTATGAGATTAGTGATATTGTTGTTTGAGACTAATGATAGGTCTAATATTGATGATTATTGATGATAATGATGTTGATACTGATAAAGAAATACATGACAATGATGATGATGATGATGATGATGATAATGATATTGATGATAAGGATAATAATCTTGCCTTCCATTTGGTTCACTTCTCATTTGGTTTCTCCCGCTAATTTTTGGTTCTGGTCTACCTTTGCCATAACAAATATGAGGGCAGCTCAGTTGGGTAAACCAATATCATTAGGACCTCTTGGCTCAATACAATCTAATCAGTATCCGTATGTAGCTGGGATTTACAAGTTATAGCCCACATTTTTTCGAAAGAATTTAATCATAAAGTAGGGAATTGCCCCACTTTGTAAAAACGGTTGTCTGAACACATCTAGAGAATGGGTCCCATGCGAGATAGTAAATATAATTTATGGGCCCCGTTTATACACATTGTATAGTGAAATGAGTGGTAGCTTTGTTTTGATCGAATTAGCATTCATATACGGTAGCACTGATAGGCTACCGTATTGGAATGTGAAAAATAACCAAACCATGGCGGGATTTAAGCTGGCCAAAACCAATACAGTATACAGCTATTTGACTCCTAATAGATATTTTGATTAGCCAAAAACAAAAGAATATAAACAATGATATCTTTAGTTCCATTAGTATTTTGGCTAATTTTGAATGAAAATATTTAGGAAAATTCAACTTTTATTAGGATGTGGCTATTTGGCCATTTTACAGCTTAAACACATACGTAGGCCTATATTCTATTCATTATAAATGCGAATACAATTAACTTTATTGCAATTTGCATACAGTAAAATATGAAATTGAAGTTTTAACAAAACATTCATATAGTGAAATTAATAAGGGATTGCACAAGACGAAGGAAACAAAAGGAAATCCTAACTAATACATACAAATCAACATATAAATTACCAGTAAAAATATTAATTCAATAATATATAAAATTATCAATAGTCAATTACAAGGCCTAGCAATTTAAAATAAAATTTATGTATAAATTTATTAACAGTTAAGAAATATTATTGAGCAATATCCTAGATTGAATTTTTAAATATTAACATTATTTACAATTAAATTTGGTGAATACAATCAAGTATCAAGTAAACTTTATTGCAAATTAATTCAAAACTTCAGTAAGTAAAGAGGCAAAATTAAAGAACAAAGATGTCGAAAAAAAATGGAAAGAGCATTCAAAACAAGCAGAGCTGAACCTATGAATCCCCGTACAAAAACAGAAAGGCCGACTTAACTAACTTAACTACAGGTAAAACTATACCCCACCGGACACCATCCCGGTATTTCTGCAAAATAAGAATTTAATTGAAAATATATAAATATATGTAAAAATATTAAAATAAACTAATACCCTTAAGAGCTTAATACATTTTTTTTTAACTTTATTGCAAATTAATTCAAAACTTCAGTAAGTAAAGAGGCAAAATTAAAGAACAGAGATGTTGAAAAAAAAATGGAAAGAGCATTCAAAACAAGCAGAGCTGAACCTATGAATCCCCGTACAAAAACAGAAGGGCCGACTTAACTAACTTAACTACAGGTAAAACTATACCCCACCGGACACCATCCCGGTATTTCTGCAAAATAAGAATTTAATTGAAAATATATAAATATATATAAAAATATTAAAATAAACTAATACCCTTAAGAGCTTAATACATTTTCTTTAAATCATTATAAAGGATCTCCAGCGCCAACAGCAAGTTGGTTTTTTGAAGGCGAAGATATCAAAGAAGAAGATGATTTCAAATTGGTTTCCAGCGGCAACACTCATTCCTTAGTGATTGGTGATGTGTACCCAGATGACGCTGGAGTTTATACCTGTGTTATTACCAACTCAGTGGGGAAAAACTCCACATCTTGCAAGGTTCTTGTCAATGGTAATATACACGCTTTTTACTTTAATATGTCATTAAGTAACATAAGAGTAATGATAAAATCTTATTATTCGTAAGAGTGCAACCGATAAATCAACTGCATACATCTCTATAATAGCGCCACTTTATTTCAGCACACAGTTTCTAAAAAAATTGTCTATTAACAAACGGCTTTAACAATTCTAAAATCGATGCCTCTTTTTTTTCCTATGATCTGTGCATAATATATCTATATTATATGTATATCAAACAAGATTATTTTTAATGTATTTTTCATTATAATGTTCTTTCATACTCTTCTTCTTCTTACTCAGTTTCAGGATTTGCTTGCCTCTCTATCGTTACTATGGTAATACATGATCGCCCTATGGTCCTTATCTAGTGTGCTTTGTGCATGTTTTATTAGATGTGTACACGTGTTGAATTTTTTATTCACAGACACTAATAGATTTTTACTCTAATTATGTATTATTATATACCAAAAAAGTGTTTAGTAATTACCATCATTTGTGAAATGACTTTTGTTTTCTCTTATATATTACGGTACGTTACTGTCATATTTCATTGATTTTGTTATAAGTTTAACTTATATTATGGTCTCTTACTATCTAAAAAAAGTTCTAAAATTATCTCAAATACGTTTTAACATTATATTGAATACAAAGAAATCATTGTTATACATAGACAGGAGACATTTATAAAGCAAGATAGAAACATCTTGCACTCCGACCGAACGCCTTTACGTTACCGTAGGCTATAGCATTGTTGTGTGATATAACAAACGTATTACTTTCATTACTTTGCGATCAATGATTTTGGTGACAATACATTTAAATGCATGAGTAACATTACCTTTGAAATTGTTAACATTAGTTTGTATGTGGAAGCATACGATTTAAAGTCAATCACTGTACAATTTTCTTGGTTTTTATATTAATATTACATGTGTTATGCATGCACCGAATTATTACATGTTGTTGAATACTTCAATCAATCGTCCATTATAGTGAACTGTATTCTTTCGTTCTTAGAATCCGGCGATGTCGGGATTGCTCCGCATTTCTTACAGAAGCCTCACCAGATGAACATTGACGAAGGAACTGTCATAACACTGACATGTAAAGTAGATGGTGATCCAGAGCCGAACGTGTTCTGGTCTAAAGAAGGTCGTATAATTCAACCAAGTGATCGTGTCCAGCTCATCACCGAGGGATTCTCACACAGTCTTCGAATTCCAGCCGCCATTGTGACGGATACTGGAAGCTATACATGCATCGCTAAAAACGAAGTTGGAGAAGAAAAATGCACTGTATCTGTGATGGTTCACCAGATTGAGGATGAACATACAGACTTCAGGTCACTTTTGAAGTCAAGGTACCATTTGTATTTGTTTTGATTGCCGTACTCTTAGCGTATATGTAATATAGCCATTTTCTTTAGAAAATAATGCTTTATTAAAGTTATTAAATGATCGATATAAGAAGTATGATTAGGGTACTTCAAATAAAATGGATTCAGAGATACAAAGTTAATGTTGCCTCAGATTGGAAATTTTTTTTGGATGAATTTTTAACCCCTAAATTTGAGGAAAACAATTGTTGAGTTTTAAAATGAATATATCACAGATCAAGCTTTTAAATATTCCACATTATTATAAGGATAGTCATATTTAATATTTCGATTTAGTCAAACCAGATAATTAAAGTAAATTGTATATATCAATGCCTGTGGCATAATCAAAGCATTCGAATTAATAAGAGATCTTTTTTCTATAAAGTGTTTTTTGAAACAGGTATAAATTTAGTAAGCGACAAATATAAAGAAGATATTTACGAGTTCACGAGCTGGGTTAATAGGGGTGTGCCCATTTTTTTTTTTTATGTTGGAGAAGTGTCTATTCCACTCAGGTGGAAACATGAGTTAAAATCAGGGTTTGTCAGAAATATGCGGAATCCTATCGGAATAACTGTAACATGTAATGTCGAAGAGATCTTGTTAAATAATCTTAAAACAAAAATTATTTACACAATTTTTGTAAAAAGTATAGGTGAAACTCCTACGTCATAAAAGAAATTTAATGAGGAATTTGATATAACAGAGAGTGAATGGAGGGATATATATGCCTTGCCATTCATAGCTAGTCAGAAGTTAATAAAATAAGAATGTTCCAATAAAAAATAATGAACTTTTTAAGGACTAATTATTGGTTATTTAAAATGAAAATTATTGAAAATGAAAAGTGTTCTAGTTAACAAATTTTGGAAATATTTTACAAAATGATGGAGAGAAGCCACCATTTTAGATAATGATTTAAGTTATAAAGACATAATATTTGGTATTGAAGTGCATAATCCTAACCTACTATTATTAAATGTTAGTATAATTTTGATTGTAGATTTGTAAATCAGTCACCATATATTTTCCGTTTTAAGAAACTCATTAAATAACATGTTTTTTATTTTTTTAGAAAAACAAGTAGCTTTAAAAAGAAATTCTCTGTAAATTTGAAAAAAATTAATAATGAAGAAAAACGTTTATTTAGTAAGAAAAGTTACATCTCTGTTGTTTAATAATCAATCAGTTTTATGGAATGAAAGGTGTTTAGTGGCTGTTTTCTGTTTTTATTAGAGGGTAATGAAATTTATGTATTTTGTGTAAAAAAATGTTGGTACAAAAAAAGGAGAGGGTGCGGTAAATATCTTGTTTTGCTTTGTTTTGTCCAGTTCCAAATGGTATTGATATACCATTCATTACATGTAACTTTTGCTTCTGTTAATGTTTTGTTGAGCAAATGATATTTAAAAAATAAGAAAGGAAAAAAAGTTATTAAAGAGGCTTGAGGTTTGTGTTCCCATCTACATAACATGCTAAACGGTTAGCCACACATAATTACAAATTATATATATTTTGCCAATCAGGTTACTAGGCCTTCATACATTATTACAAACGAAGTATAGACAAGAAAATATTTTTGCATAAGTATGCTCAAATTTCTGTTGTTTATATTGTGCACCATGGATTAATGAACAAATGTAATGTTTTAATTCAGTTTGTTCATAATATCTATTTTTATTAATATCAGTAAATTTAACGAGGTACTTGGTTATAATATGCAGTATTCAAATAAAATGTATCGTGTTTGCTGTCACCTTATTATTGGAGGTTTTATCTAAGTATAAAAATCATAAATGATGGTAATAAATAAAATAATATACACTATGGTGTAAACATATTAATGTTAAATTTTAGGCCAAGACTTCGGAAAATGGACAACACTAACCAAAATGAAGATGAAAGAGAAACTGAACAATTAGATTTCCGTCATGTGCTCAATAAATCCAAATCTGAGGAAGAAGAACCTCAAGCCCAAGCCAAAGAGGCAGAGGCAGAACAACTCGACTTCCGTCATCTGCTCACACGGCACGTTCAAACCAAACAACATCCAAAATTTACCAAAGATTTGTCTGATGTAGTCGTCGATGAGGGCAGTTCAGCTTTGTTGGTTTGCAATGTAATTGGAACGCCATTGCCGACTATTACCTGGAATTTCAAAGGAAAGGAAATAAAGGAATCGAAGTATTTTAGAATGACGTATGAAGGTATGATCTGTTGAAGACATAGGAACATTACATTATAAGGAATATATGTATTATTATTATTATTATTATTATTATTATTATTATTATTGTATTGTGTTTTTTCACGATATCATTTTTGTAACAAGGAAACTAATTTTCATACATCGTTTTAATATTTTTTAATGATAGCCCTAATGTTTGTCATTAATATTGTTTTGTCTATTTTGTTATTAATTTATTTTAACTGTTATAAATTACAAATAGGTAATAGCAATTAATTCGTTAATTAATTTTGAGAATACACAAATATGCCATATATAGACTACAATGGTTATCTACATCTGCATTTGCAATAAGTATTAAAGCCACATACTTCTTAATGTTACCATGAATTTGAAGTTGTGAAAAAACGCATAAAACGTATTGCATTCCCTATTTATGTCAAGGTAACGTCGCAAAACTTTCCATTTCTGAAACGTTTGCCGAAGATGAAGGCGAGTACATCTGTATTGCGTCGAACAGTGCTGGTTCCACAAGATCGGTTGCTGATCTTCGGGTCAAAGGTGAGCAGTCCATCCCATGTGGTAGTTACAATTCTCCTTGGTGATCGTACTTAAAAACAAAGGAGATTTCACTGAGGAGAAATACACACAATGGATTGAATGTAAAAGAATTCACGAAAACTGCAGTCAATTGTTTACACTCGTTGAATCTGGGAACTTACCAATTTCGGTAATCCCATCGAATATCTAAATAGAATTCCTACATTCGCTTTACAAATTAATGATACTGTTTATCTTTCAGCTTGTTATAGTGAAGAGCCAGAATACGTTAGTAATACAAGCACAGATGATATTGGAATTACAAAGCCAAATTATGAGGTTGACAGCACATTCCAGAGTCCAATTTCTGCAAAGATAAAAGCACCTGTTGCGAATGCTGTTGGTCAGAAGGTTGCTTCTTTTACACTGAATTCATCTGCCAAACCATTTGGAGAAACAAGTTCTAAGATGCCTAACGTATCACCACCAGAATTTATTGAAGAATTATGTGATGAGCCAATCATTGAAGGGAGTGCCGCCAGACTGGAATGTCGCCTGATCGGAGATCCTGAGCCAGTGGTGTATTGGTATAAAGATGGTAAAGAATTGAAAGAGGGTAGAAAATACAGTTTTGAGTTTGATGATGACGATGTCATTGCATTGGTTATCAAGGAAACGACAATGCGAGACCTTGGAAAATATGCTTGTAAAGCCGTTAACTCGCTTGGTACTGCAGAATGTTCAGCTCAACTCATCATCGAAGGTAAACGACGTGCCATTGTTAATTATTTTACTGAAAATCTAAACATGATGTACACTGGAGTGTGGAGTGTTAGACGAACAAAATTGATACTGTAGAACCTCAAATTGAAGCCCAGTGGGCTTAATCTCAAATGAAGCCCATCTCGAATTGAGCCCCCGCTTTAGTTGGCAAATTAGTTTCCAAAAAAGAAGCCCATGGACATCTTTTCAGGATGGCATAGGCTTCTTTACGAGATAGTACAATATATACACTATATATGAATTTCAAATAACAAAGAAAATAAAAACAAGCTTGGTTTATACAGTAGTTTAGGTGATTTAATGTCAGTTAAATACACTCCATGATACAGATTGATGTTACAGTGGTCATATTTATTGTTTTAAAGTACAAATTCACAAAATTTACAGCACTCATTTGTAAAGAAGCACCCCCCCCCCCACTATACTTTGCAAAAGTAGCCTCGAAAAGAAGCCCATTTCGAAAAGAAGCCCATCGAAAGTTCGCAGAAAAAAGAAGCCCAGGGCTTTAATTCGAGGTTTGCGGTATAGGTCTATTTAGATAATTATGCCTACCTTCTCTTAATTCTGAGAGGAAACATGTGATTCATTCCCCTTCTCCCCTATGACTCATCTACACCCCTCTCTCCAGCCACGATTATACTCAAGCATCCAAGTCCTCGCATCTATCCTTTAGGACATACCACATTACACATAACAGATACTTTTAATATAATTTGATTAAGTTATTCGTAATTCGTTTACAATTCGGATACAACACAACATTAGAAGACAGAAATTTTTACCAACGCATAACATACAGCTTCTTGAAAATCTATTCATCGAATCATTTCCATAGCGCCACCAAAGGTTGAGAAGTGCCCACGGAACTTGGTAGTCAATGCTGGTCAAGATATAGAGATAACATGTAAAATATCTGGAACGCCTGAACCGGACATTGAATGGAAACGAGGCAAGAAGGAAATCGTAGAAGGGGGAAGAATCGAGACAGAAGATGTGGATGACAATACAATGCTGCTTATTCGTAACGCTAAACAAGAAGATAGTGGTATATACAAGTTAATTTTAACCAATGATCTTGGCACTGATAGCTGTACGATTTCCGTCAGTGTTGTAGGTAAGTGCATGGAGGAATTAGTTTAGTGGTAAGTGGATGTAGTTTAATACTTTTAAACAATATGATATTGTAATAGTATTTACTGTTGGGTTTTTTAATTAACAGCAATTCCGGAAGGTCCATTCGTGCCTGAATATGTACTGAATACGTATCATACTTAAATGCAGAATAATGTGTCGTCATTCAGCGTTTTGTTTTACATGATAAAACCTATACAACTGATTTAATAATAATAATAATAATAATCATAATATAAAAATTTTTAAAGCGTCAATTAAAAGACCGAGGTGTATTATTAAAGGCACTGTGCAGACGTTAATTATGGAAAAGGTGAGTTTTAAGTAATGTTTTAAATGAAGCAACAGAAGAACAGTTTTTAATATGTGCAGGGAGTGAATTCCAAAGTGTAGGTGCTGCAAAGGAAAAAGATTTATTGCTAATACGCTGGGAACGGAGAGCAAAAAATGATCAGAGGATCTTAGGGTGCGTCCAGGAACATTAAGGTGGGTAAGCTGATGTATATAGATAGGTTGTTAAAACAGAAGTGCTTCAAAAGTAAGTCTATAGCCTGTCTCTTATCCACATCCGTCGGGCAAATCCTGGCGCCACCCCTGCCCATGGTCTGCGCCCATGAGTAATGTCGAAATGGGAGCTCTGTGCTCACATGACAGCGTGCCTATCTCTATTTCCTTGTGCGTTTTAGTTTGCCTCAATGTGCAATATTATGGGGCTCGGCACTCCTCAAGAACAGCGCTTCCCAGTATAGCGGTACCTTTGTTTCAAGTTGACAGCGGATTATTTTTTAAAGAACACATTTTATAAGGACACTGAGGCTGAAATTGCTTAAAAAATAAGAACAAATTGAGGCTGAGGTAAAATGTCAAATGAGGTTTTTAGTTTTTTTTTCGTTTTTGTTTTAAATATAAAAGCTAAAAACTGATATCTGATAATTGATAACTGATAAAACAGTACAAAATACATAATAATAAAGATATACTGTAAATTCAAAAAAATATACAGATAGATAAATAAATATAAGCAGCACAGCAAACAAATTCCAATCGGTTGATTACTTTATTTTTTTTAGGTAAGAATATTTCTTCCCATGGGGCCATGTAACGAAGCTTTAGGTTTTCTTTCACCTCTTCACTTATATTGCCCTCATTTTCATTGACATTTATTGTATAAGTGAGAATACGTAAATTAATAAACTATGAACTAAAAATATATACAGTATTCCTTAAAAGGCAGAGAGAAAATGTAGGAAAGGTGACTTGCACAACTAAAGAAGAGAATCCATCGAGCTACAGCCACTGCGTTTGGTTCCATAGTCATCCTCCTTTCTCAAGCTCTACTGTTTAAAATCTTTTTATAAAGAATTGGTTTCTATATATTTTCAGACAAACCAGATCCACCTACAGGTAAACCAGTAGCCTCAAATGTTAGCCGAACGTCTTTGACGCTATCATGGAGTGGTTCTCCCTACGATGGAGGTAGTATTATTACTGGCTATGTAGTAGAAATGTGCAAAGCCCAAGAGGAAACTTGGAGTAGGCTTACCACGGCCAAGAGTACGTCGTACGTGGTTAGAGGTCTTGTTCCTGAATCAAAGTATAATTTCAGAGTCAGGTCTGAAAATGCTTATGGAGTAAGTGACCCTGGATTGACATCTGATCCTGTCCGTACAACTGAAACTAAAGTTCAGAAGGAGGCAAAAGCAGCCGACTCGGGAGGTCAGTTATAGTACATGTGCAACAAAGAGTAAACCAAAAATTGCTTCAAATCGGCTTTGCCGATTGCCTTGCAGACGAATCAGGGTAAATTGCTAGCTGCAAGCGGGAAGGCACCCCGATTCGTCTGCAACACAATCGGCAAAGTTAAACCAGGTCCAACCTTCCTATCAACTGTCGCCGATAGGGTGGGCGATTCTGTGGAAACCGAGCTTAATGTTTTTTTATGTCGTTTTTAACATTTTTTAACAATTTACCCTGAAGAATGTAGTTTTTTTTAACTATGCTTTATTATGTAATATTTGCCAATATTACACAAATCGGTTATGTGGCTTCCATGTTTAGATATCTGAATATTAATTTAATTGAGTAAATACAATATTTTTATTTTAACCTATAATAGAATAGAATATCATACATATAAATTTATTATGTCGATATATTCTAGATGAAGGTGACTGCACATTTGAATCGAGACATGTAGTTGTGAAGTCAGGTGATATTAAGAAATACTACGATATTCAAGAGCAAGTTGGCAAGTAAGTAGGAGTTCCGACTGTAAGATCACTAAAAGTCACCGAAATCGCTACATGCGATCGCCGGCAACTGATTGGTTGGGAGTCTTTCCGATTTGGTTTGGGGACAGCTACACCGTGTACCTCCACACAAAGTGGTAATGTAATTCGACAGGCAAATTACAGTAATATTTTTAGCAAATTTATATATATATAAACCCATAAAACAGCAAACGGCCACATAATGCAAAACTATTTAAAATTAAAACGGAACAGCAGAGAAAATCCGATCAGAATGACAAAATAAACTAAGTATCCACTGGAAGGAATCCCAATATCTGTGGGCTGTCTCTTATACACATCTAGATGTGTATAAGAGACAGGTTCCTTTTAATGCAGCACTAAAATGATAAAGCATGGATGAAATCCTTTGATAAAGCGAAATAAAAAAAAATAGTAAAGTTCTTCTATGTGCTACAGTATCTTTACTTCTGGACAATTTTGACATGGCCTGGATTGTAAACAATTCAGATAAATGTGAATTATTGAAATGTAAGCGTTGTAATAATTAATGATAGTAATATTGTCTGGCATATAATGCAGCCTACAAAATTTCAAGTTGGCATTCCACAATTTTTGAGAATATTGACGAACAAGAATTGGCACAGGTTTTTTGGCAACCTATAGTAGATTTTCCATGCTTCAGCATCCACCGTATTTTACACTGCAATCTGAGGCATGGTTTCCACTGAGACAGATCGTACCGGAAACTACATTTATGTACGTTGTACCCGAGGAAAATTTGCCAATCGTAAAACAAATTTTTTGTAAAATATTAATAGGCAATAATATATAATCCACATGCGACTCCTCTTTCTACTCTTTGCCAAATGTGGGCCTCTTTACTATCTAATAGTAGCAAAGTTGTTGTAGATTTGTAAGGGTACAATGTGTTAATGACTTCATAAACTTGAGTATTTGTAAAAACACGGAGGATTGAAAGTTGGCAAGTTTTTGCTGGCCTATTTTTATCCTCATTTTGGGCCTTGCGGGGACTTAGCAGGGGATGTAATTTCCAAAATGGTTACATGCATGTGAGAGTCCCGGCCACCTCCTAGCAATGCGGAGCATCGTTTTAATGTACATCCCCGGCTAAGTCCCCGCCACACCGCCGTAGTCCTGGGAAAATGCCTCGCTAATAAATGATTGGAGGATAAAACCTACTTGAAGGTTTAGCCTACAGTAGGTCTGAATCGGAGAAGCAACGTGAGAGCTAGGCCAAGGAGATGAGGTTCCTTGATGGAAGCACTACGCGTGCGTATCACTTAGCAGTTTCCATGGAAGTTTGGACTACAATTGACAAGTGCATAATCTGTCTCTTATACACATCTAGATGTGTATAAGAGATAGATTTTTCAGTGGGATTGAGCACTGTTTCACAAAAAATTATATATATATATATATATATATATATATATATATATATATATGTGTGTGTGTGTGTGTGTGGGTGTTTGTGTGTGTGTGTTTGTGTGTGTGTATACGTACGTGTATATGTATATATATACATATATATATATACGTGTATATATATATGTATATATATACGTATATATATACACGTATATATATATTAATATATGTTAATTAATTATGTTGATAACCTTAAGATGTTTTATCATCAGCTATTGCAGGTCCACTGCTGGACAAAAGTCTCTTAGCATGTTGACGCCAAATCAATCTCATATCTCTATCTTTTACGTTGTCTTCCCTTGTTCGTTTTGCCATCCATGGTGGACTCCATCCTGTTACTGCTTTTTGCTTTAAGAGGCTGAATAATTAACTACAATTTATGAATATGCAATTAAAATGCTTGCACCTGTAGGGCTGAAACATAGCCTCAGCCACTTGGCAGCCTTTCAACAATGCAATTTGGGGTATCTATGTACAGGGCCTCCCAAGAACTCCTGCTGACTACAAGTTCAAAAACTATAATGAAAACCACTGAGCCAAACCGCATTTTTACAATTATTGCTATTAATATTATTATTAATAATAATATTATGAATTTTATTTAATATTATTTAAATATTTATTTGTTTTCATAGCTTGGCTATGCTCTTTTCTACTTACTACTGCCGTAGTATAGTATGTGGCTATTTTTTACGGGTCGATAGAGCATGTGTACCGTACGGTATTTCGTTAATACTGGGTAGTTTTCGCCGCACGACGTTAACCTTAACTTTAAAGTTAGTACCCAACATGCAACGCGATTGCTCCGCCCCTTTTTGTAAACAAATCGAAATACGCATGCGCAAACCCGTAACTAATGTACGTCGAGCACGTTAAATCCTGAAATTTACGTACTCCGCAACACAAGATGAATAAATTATGACGTCATCCGTTAAGGTTAACGTCGTGCGGCGGCGAAAACTACCTATTAATAGTTAACCCTAACCCTCTTCAGTGTGCGGCACCGTATCTCTCGACACAATGAATATGAATATGAAAGCCTGGCTCTATTTCTTTGCTTGACCTACTACTTGAGTAGAGTAGGCCCTAGGCCTCTGAGGTTGTGTCTTCAGTTTCTGTAGTTATTTTTTATCGGACTGTTAATAAATAAGCCTAGGTACGCAGGTACGACCATTGAGCCAAATACATTTTTGTTTGCAATAATTTAATTTAGAGGCTTTTCGACCCGAGTTTTTATCATTTTCCATCCATAACCTGATCGCCTTATTTGAGTTGCTCATGCAGCTCGATTTTTACCATTTCTATTTCATAGCCTCTTCGCAGACGCTATTTGGTTCCTAAGACGTTTTTTTGGTAACTGATACCCTCTACGCAGACACTAGTTGGTTCCTGAGACGTCTTTTGGTAACTGCACATACTCGACATGGCTCGACAACGTCAATTACTCATTGCACATGTTCATTGGCTGTCTAACATTTTCACGCGCATGCTCACTGAGTTTTTAGCCCTATAGATAATTTGCGGACGTTCTTTGGTAACTGCCGCATGCGCATTGCTTATTTCGGAATTTCCATTTCTTCGTAGTAAATGCTACCGATACCTACTGTTTCTTAATGACTGTTTCCTCTTGATCGTAGCAGCCTAAAAGTGCGGCGCTAAAACCAGCAGAGGGTAATTTTTCAGTCAGCATTATGAAGATGGCCGAAAAAAGGTTTTTTCAATATTTGTTCCATGAACGGGATTATTTTTTCTATCTGTTTAGTATATTATTATACTGCTCATAGGATAAATACTCTGTATTTTTTTGCAAAACAGAGATCAAAAGCCATCACCAAACCTTTTAATTTTTTTTTAACTGAACGTCTTTGTATGAATGGCTATATTATCACACCTGTTTGAAACCATTGTAACCTCTACACTTAGTTTCTTTTATAATTATATTAACAGGACTACACAGGTTCCACTGAACACTAATATTATTTCATCTTGTTATTTTTAGAGGTCGATTTGGAATAGTTCATAAATGTATGGAGAAAGCAACCGGGAAGATGTGGGCTGCAAAATTCATCAAGACAAAAGCATCAGAGAAAGACGCTGTTAAAGCAGAGATCGAAATTATGAACCAGTTAAAACACCCAAAGCTTATTCAATGTGTTGATGCATTTGAAACAACACGCGAAATCATTATGGTTTTAGAATTGTAAGACTATATCTTATTATATACCGTATAAAATAAGATTATCTGAAA